AAAAAAAAAAAAAAAAGGAGCAGAAGAATCATGCGAGACCAGGAAAAACATAACAGTGCAAAGATTCCATCTACAAATGAATAAATAACTTTGGGACCACCAGCATTCAAAACACATAAAGGCAATGGGACCACTTAGGACACAAACGGTACAACACCGTCGTGTATTTGAAACCCACTTCAACGACCCACTTATATTTATTAATTCTTAATTACACTCGTAATTTATGATTAAGGCTTTAAGAGAATGTATGTGACGATTGTTTATTAATTCACGTTTAATGAGTCATGATATATTAATTTCGTATCGTATATTAATTATGTATAATTAATATATAAACGAGTCGTGTTATGTATTCTTTTTTGATCGATTTTACCCATTCGTTTTTTTGATTAATGACCTCACTCATTTACGAAATAGGTGTTTAAAAGAATATACAAACCCTTTAACTTCGTGACATATTCCTGAGTCGTACCGTATTTTGACACCCTTATTCTGAATTATCCAAATAATTATTTAGTGTAACATAACATAAAGTCACTATTATCATATGATTTCATAATCCGATAATAAATTTATAATTGAGCAAGACAAGGTAAACTTCACTCGATAATTGTTTTTATACATGGATAAAATAATTATTAAATTAATTAACTTATTATTAAATAATTATGATAAAACATGATAATAACGTAATATCACTATTAAATTCAATGTTTTCTCCCGTCCTTGGCCTGTTCCCTTATTCTCAAATGTTCATAACTCCAAAGTCGCAATCGTGCCTCGTAGTGACCACCACGTTCAACAACACCGAACACCCTCGCCCCCTCCCTCTCTCAAAACCATTCCATCCAAAACCCCCCAATTTCTCCGGATCGCCACATGACCATTTCCCCATCCTTTGGACTTACCCAAACTACACATCTCTCTCTCTCTCTGTCTCTCATCAACTTGAGAGATATTCAACAACCACCCACCAAAAAAGAAGCTAGAAGAAACAACCCACTCCGGCTTTTGTCTTTCTCTTTTTTGGTGGGCCTCTTCTGTGTCCGAGTCTTTCTGTTGCTGTTTCCTTTGGGTTCACATTTGTTGGAATTTCTTGAGCACAGACAACTGTGGCCTTTCGGGAATTAGCTTCACACGCTTCTAGTCTTTTCACAAAGCAATCTAGTGTTTTTGATTGATTTTGCCTTGTGGGTTTCTTTCTGCTATAGTCGTAGTGTCATTTCAACAGGTGTTTAGGGATTTTGATAATTTCTTGGGTTTAGTACCGTTGATGAGTTGATGTCTTTGGCAGTTGGAGCTGTGTCTAGTTCCAAGAACATGGGTGGATTTGATGAAAACAAGGAGGTTGGAAGGGAGAAGAGTGGAGTTCAAGAGAGTGGAGATGAAAGAGAAGAAAACATGAAAAGAACCATGAGTGAGTCTTCTTTCTATACAACTGATAATGAAGAAGATGAGGAGGGTAATAAAATTGAACTGGGTCCTCAGTACACCATTAAAGAACAGCTTGAGAAGGATAAGGTTTGCTTCTTCCCAAATTGTTTAAACATTCATGAATATTCATAATACATGGCCTATAACTCCTTTGTAGTTGTACTCTATTTATAAGTATGCAATTTATATGTTTCTATATTTGCCTGATTTGGGAATTTCAGGATGATGAGAGTCTGCGGAGGTGGAAGGAACAGCTCCTTGGGAGTGTGGATATGAACATTGTTGGAGGTATTAATGTATTTTCTTAATACATGGTAGAGGTGTTAATGCTGTTTTATCCACCAGATATAACTTTTGAATACATCAAAAAATTTGGTCTTTAGGATCATACTCTGTTTCCTTCCTCGTAGCTTAAAGTTTGCTTAACAATGCCTTCCTTAAACTTCACTAATTAATGCTTACGCTTTTTAGATATGCTTCTGCTAAAATTTTTGATCAGTGATGCCATCTTCTTTTGCATTCTGCTGGTTCTGACAGACATAAAATGCATGTATAGTTGTCTTTTCATCAAGCTCAGCAAGTTTTGCTCTTGTTTGCTTTATTCTTTGGTTAATTTGTTGTACGACGGTCTGTTTTGGTATAGTTTCTTGGTGAAGCTATTACAGCTAGCATGAGTTGAGAATTATACACAGTGATAGTAGTTGTTTATGCTATAGAAATGTGTTCGACTGTCGATTCATGTGTTTCTCTCCACTGTTCATTTTTTGAGTTTTGCCTTGAATATTTTTATAGTTGTTTTAATAGATACAGCTGATTGTTTACCTGATATTGTTACTATTAAATGAACAATGTCTGAGATTTCTATGCTAAGACTATTTTAATGTAATTTATCAACATATTAAAATAGGAAAAGAAGGGTGTCAAACATGCTTGAGACTTGGTGGATTTCCATATATATATATATTGGACCATCAGAGAATTCACCTTCAGATGGTTTAAGGTTACAGTACAAAGATGGCTTCATAACACAACAATTCATTTTTGTTTAATTAACTCACTTAGCAGAAAGCCCTTATTTTTCTAAATCATATAGGTTTCAAACATTTGCTATGCATCATGGAAGGCAATCTTCTCTATCAGCAATGTTGCTATCACTTTGCTGTACTCAAAATCCAAAGTGAAAATGGAAAGTATTTTCTTGGAATCGTCCTACAAAACCAACAAATGATATAGTTAATTTCTCTGTTTAACCTTAATTGTTGATTTTCATTTCAGTTATTTTAGGTGATGGACAATGTTAGTCAAGAATACATTTTGTATGGATGAATCCCC